AACATAGTTTTCTAATGTAGTTTTTCTCTTTAAAGCTCAAGAGCTGCACCATGTATTAAGTGTAATGCTCCTGTACTGATGCCTGTTAGGTTGTCTGAGCTCATCGGAGCAGCGCTGCCATGTATGACCCGGACCCTCAGCCGGTTCAGATGCTCCAGAACGGTGCCCTCGACCCTCAGATTGATCACCGTCTGCGGGCTCAGACGGTCCAGGGCCGCAGCAGAACCTGCTGTCTGCCGTTTGCTTAGACTAAAAAGCTGCTAAAAGCTGGGATCAATCGGGCGGGAGAATCAATCAGGATCATCCGTGTTTACACGACTGCAGAGGATTACCTCACTGTTACTGGAACGGCCTCACAGGAAAGCTGCCCATTAGAACAGAGCGACTAAACACCGGCCTGCTGTTTACATAGAAGGTACCGCCGGCTCGGCCTCGCATCTCTGAGCCACAGACAATTAGGCCCCTATGAAGGCTGTAATCCAGAGCCGGGCGCGAGCTAATCAAACTCAGACACCGAAAACAATGAGGGACGGGATTACAGTGAATGCATGTGGAGATAGAAAATTAATAAGCTTAGCGGCAAACATGTGCTGCAGTCAGCGAGAGTCAGAAGACACGGCTTCACATGCATGTTTTAAAGTGTTCGGTTGGACCTCGAAGCAAAGGTGTGAACCGAGGCGTTAATTTAGTTAGAATCACAAGAATCCAGCTCAATCTGACGGCGCAACATGTCATGTCTTCACTCAAACGTCACCACAAAGGAGGGAGAAAAAGCCACACTGCCATCAATCTGGGAAGTTAAGATTGTCTTTTGTCTCGCAGAGAATTAACCGAAACATATATGAAAGGTTCATAAGTTTCAAGATCATCTCAGAACAGCACCAGAATTCCTCCTGCACATGAAGGAATCTTGTGCTACTGTGGCTCTGCTGTAGCAGATACAGTCCGTCTAAAGGCAGAAGTGTTCACACCTGTTGTCAAAGTGAGCTTACAGGGGGCGAACGGTAAATTGTTCAAATGGAAGGAAAAAGGAGTTGCGTTTGGACAGAAAAATCAATGGTGAGACGCTCAGATGTGCAGGAAAAGTGACAGAGAAAAGCTCCGTAGCACACCCGGTCAATGATTGTGCATCTTGTTAATTGAAACCGACACATGCAGTTTCCATTAATTCTCCACTGATTTCTGAGTTTTGGGGAAAAGCGGCAATTCAACAGGTAATTTACTTGAACCACATCGAGGCTCCGATCGTTCCTCAGCTGCAGTGTAGTAAGAAAACTGTGTGGAGGAACTCACACAGGGAATTTCTCACTAAAAACTTTGATAGATGTCCGAATGCAAGCCCAAATGTTGGGGCCTCACTGCATGAACTTTGAGGCATTCTGTGGATTCTGTTCCTCAGATCTTCTTGTAGTGCAGCAAAGTGAATGTATTTCTATTATAGTGCATTACTGGGAAAAAAGAAAAAAGAAAAGGGTGGATAAAGTGGGAAGATGCATCCAGAAAGTGGAGAGAGCTCTGATGGTAAGTTATTGCAGAAACCATGATATGTGGCTTTCAGCTGCAGGAGCTCAGGACAGGTGGCACAAACGTTTACAGGAGTTGCACCATAATGGTCCCTTTCGGTGTTTTTGTTTCCATTGTGGTGCCAGATTGGCAGCGACAACCACAACGTGAACTCTGAGAGCACAGAAACTTATGGACACGACTCCAGTTCAACGAGCACATTGGTAAACAAACAGAGGAGGTTTGTTATTTTAGCCTCTGTGTGGGGAATTTCAGAACCAGAATGAGTTTTATCGCCAAGTAGGTTTTCACATACGAGAACTCTGACGGTTTGGTGCGAAACAGTGAGACACTGACGAGTGGAACAACTTTTAAAGAAGATCCGAGGAAGTAATTAAATATTTACAGGAATGCGCAAGATTACAAAGTTGAAATGTGCAAATGATAACAACAACCCTAAAGCTAAGCGCTAATGTAAGGCATTGAGTCACAGTGGACGGTTAACCAATCAGCATTAAGACCTGCTCAGAAGTTTTTCATGGATGCTCAGAGGTACCAGAATTCTCCCAAAAATGGCTCTAAAAGAACTACTTCTGGTACAAAAAAAGCCCTGCAAGTTCCTGCAGTGAGAAACAGCCTTTTCTTGCACTATGATAACTTTTTAAAAAACGTGTTTTAAACCACAAGAGAAGAATCCAGAAGTGGAAAGGACTCTGTTATTGAAGACTTCTCTATCAGTCACAGTACAAACTTTCAGTATGGAGTGGTGGTTGTGCTGCTGATGTTTTTTTAACTACTGGTGTTCATGGAAAGTTAAAATAATGGAGAATTAAAGAATTCAAACTAAAAAAATAGCAAAAAAAAATCCAGTTCAGGGCCCTCAACATGGGTTTAAACTGTATTACGTCTGTTCGAGTGACAATAAAGACAATGTTCATGTGTGTCAGCTCATCCTGGGTTTTCACTGTGATATTGTTTAAGATGATTTCATCTTCAGTTTGACCGGACGTCGGCATGAAAAGCACAGCTGCCGCTTAATAACATTAACAACAAAGCTGCCCGCACAGAACCTCGACCCTGAAACCGAAGCAGCCAAACGTTAATCATTTTATTATTTACACCTGTGCTGTTCCTTCTGGGACGTGTTGCTTTGACGGGTCAAGGTTTGGACGGCAGGACTCCGTTTGTTGTCCTCAGCACTAACAGCACGAATGACAGCCGCTATGGGAAGCATGATTGGATATGATTTATGTTAAATCAGTGCAAAAAAAGAGGAAAAAAAGGCACTTAAGAGCTGAACTGGTGACCTTTTATCACTAGGATTATCTTTTTCTTTATCGTACCGGGAAGTCACCTGAAGCAGGACAGATTTATTACATTTTATGTGCAAAATGTGTCAGTAAATTAACTGTTTTGAGGACTTTGTAAGAAAAAAGCTCATTTGAACAGGTTAAAAACTTTTTTTTTTTTTTTTTTACTTTTGCTGAATTTGTGTTGGTTTGGCATCATAATGGAACCAAAATGGATCATTTGCATGCAGTATATAGCCTGATAATACTGAATATGAAGCTGCTGAATGGAGTAATCTGCAGGTGGGTGTTTACAGTGTTGTCATTGGAACATCTACTGCAAAATGTGACATTCTTAAATAGTTTGAGAGGATATAAGTGATGAGCTGCAGGAGGTACAGTTGTAAACAAGTTCTCTGGCAGTTTTAAGTTTCCAATGACTCATATGTGTCATGAAACATATGTCACCAAAAACAATCATATATTGTGATTTTCTCCATGAATGTATTCAAGTTCTTCTGGAAATATGACAATAAAGCAACATGCAGAATGTAAAAGAACTCATGAAATGACTTTGAGAAAACGTAGAACAGTGTGTTTAATTGTGCACGTGTCCTTTTTTGTGTTTATTTTTGCAATAATCCACAATCTGATAGTGTCTGCTGCTGACAGACGCTCGTGCTGGCAGCGTGTGCACGTATCAGATGATAAGGTGGACTAAAGCCTATAAATACGGCTGCTGAGTCTCCCGGTGAGCTCAACTCTGCTGCACCACCTGAGGATCTCCGTCCGCCTCAACCCTCCTGCGTTTCTTTATTTCACTTATGCGGGAAGAAGCGCCGCCAAACGAGACATTTTTGTCGCTCTGAGGCATAAATTAGTCTTCGATCCGTTACCAAAAAAAAAAAAAAGAAAAAATGTCGCTTCCCTGCGCGTAAAATGCCGCGCTTTGTGCGTCCTGGCGCGGACGATTCCTTGGAAAATGTGCGGTGTCAGTCGCGTTTCCTTCACGCCCCGCTGCTGTGGGTCGGTGCTGAGCAGGAGTGGCATCTCGGCGACAAAATCTGGATGAAAGAGCGTCCTTTAGAGCGCAGGCATGCATCGAGTAGTGAGATCATTGGCGTTATAAATATCCCCGTGCCAGCAGAACCGCTCCAGCTCCTGCAGCCGGGGTAATGCCCAGGAGCGCTGCGCAACGGGACCTCAGGAGCGACACAAAAAATGCTAGAAGTGGCCTAGCGAGAGTCTCCTTTTTGGAAGAATGAATGTTCCTCTCTACATTCTGACCTTCGCTCATTTGATTCTCGCCGCCGCCGGAGCAGCAGCAGCAGCAGCAGCAGCAGAGCGCGTCTCTTTGGAGCGCCAACTTCTGGAGGAGGGGATCCGCTCCGGACGCAGGACTTGCAGGCTCTACTGTCGGGTTGGCATCGGCTTCCATCTCCAGATTCATCCCGACGGCAGAGTGAACGGCAGCCATGAGCCCAACCAGCTGAGTAAGTGTTTCCTCCGCTCTGCAGCCTCAAACTGTTAAATTATACACGTCTGACGCGCAGATGGATGAATCGTCCCGCTGAGAATGCGCACTCGCAATCTCACATTTCCTGCATTTGCTCCTAACTAAGCCCGTTTTGAGCAGAATAATGCTTTGTGCAGGGGAGAATGCGTGCTCCTAAACTTAGGCTGCTGCTGCTGCTGCTGCTGCTGCTCGACCCTGTGAAATATCTGAGCAGTCATCGCTCCGGCAGCCTTGTTTGCGTCTCTGGTGGATGTTGGCAGGTAGACTATTTGTGGAAGTAACAGGTGCAGCTCGGAGACGCACCAGGATGTGTTGGATTACAAAACCACACGACTGACATCACAACAACAGCTCCTGCACACACAGCACTAAACAAGCACGTTAAACAGCGCACACATCAGCGGCTATTCGTGGATCCTCAGACTGTTGTGCAACTTTTACCTGCAAATTCAATTCTGCGAACCTTTCACTCAGATAGAGAGCGATAATAATAATAATGTGATATATGAGGGCATACTTGTGCTGTGTTCAAGTATTTAGATTTAAGAGAACTGTGATGACACAAAGCAGAACTGATGGTCTTGGTGATCCAGGGAGCTTTGGTAAAAAGCAACTTGACCTCTGTCTTTCTCTTTATTTGCTTTTTGCAAGAACTAAATAACAAGTCCAGCTGTGTTTCACTGAAGCTCCAATGATTGATTTACTAATTAAGGACAATACTGAGCCACTGGTTTAAGTGAAACATACTTAAAACGTTTAATTCCTCTCAAATATGCAATGCTGCAACTTCATCTTCAATTAGGTCAACTTAAAAATTCTAATTCTTCCCAACTGAAGTATTTATTTACCAAAGTGCATAAAGTCAAACAAGACTTTGTTGCTACATTTTTGGCCTTTTTCTTGTTTTTACCCTGCAATCCTACAAGAAGAAGCTTTTACTGAAACAGATAACAAATAAAGAAATAAAAAGCAACAACAATCTGATATAGGAGTATAGAATTGTGCTCTGTGCCAACATATCTTTCAGGTAAATTAAGAGAAATAAGTTCATAGAAGAAGGAAAATAGTTGGCTCAACTTCAATGAATTGCTTAAATTCAACATGCATTGAAATTCAATCCCAGTCAACTGAATTTTCAATCATCCAGGTCATGTTTTTTTCCAAAAAAAAAGATGCCCAGTTGCTTTTTACTGAAGCTCAGAGGATTACAAATTATTATTAATGTCACAGGTTGAAGCTAGATTCACTGAAGTCATTTAGTTCCTCTCAAATGAGCCTCGCTGCCACCGAATTTTAGGAATGTTAGCGTGACATTTCCAGTTTTTCCAGCTTAAGTTTTCACTTGGCCCTCATTTGACCGACAGTTCTTTCTCTTTCTTTTATTTGGTAATAATATTATTGTTTTCTGTGTTAAGAGAAATATTCACACAAAAAAGCAAAAGTATTGGATCAACTTAAATGAATCGTGTCAGTTAAAATCCAAAACAGGATGAACAATATTTCAGTGTAGATTTTTAGTCACGAGGTCTTCGTCATCCAAGAGTTTTAGTAAAAAGAACCTAAAAGAAAAGTCCAGTTGCTTTTGCCTGAAACTCAGAGGATTAACTAGTAATATTAATGCGACTGGACTAGGTTAGATGAACTTAAATAATATTATTTCTCTCAAATGCAACTTAAGTTTTAGGAAAATTAACTTGTGATTTCCAGTTTTACGAACTTAGCTATTTGCTTTTACCCAAATGTAAAGCGTTAAACGTGATTTTGTGATTAAACTTCCTTTCTCTACTATTTAATCCTATTAAAAAACAAAAAAACAAAAACAAAACTGTGGTTTAGGAGTTACAGCAGAACATTTTGAAGAGCAGCAGTAGACTTAATTATCACACTTTCACCAAAATCAGAACACTGGTTAGCGAAGTGCAATTTCCAGTTGACAGAATACAAAAACTGTCCAAACCAAAAAAGTTTCATTCATAAAAGTACTTTAACAGCAGCTCAGACAGTTTTTACAGTGTAAAATGTTTGCTGTGTAATTTTACAGTGCAGATGGCTCATTTAGGAAGCATCATCCTGGATACTGGCTGTTTCAGGCTAATATGGAAAATGGATAATAGAAGCTAAAACATCTTCATTAAATAAAACCTAAACAAGCTCTTTTACAGGAGTGTAGATAGAGGAATGTGTTGGGACATGAACGTTGGCTGTTTATGTAACTGTTTGTGTTTAAAGTATATAAACTGTGGAAAAAAACCTCCTTTAAGACTTTGAAAATTCTAATTTGACTTGTGAATAAGACAAAAATTTGAAAAATGTCAGTGGAGCGAGATCAGTTAGTCTTTCATCAAATCCAAATTCAGCAGTTTTGGCATTTTTCCTACAAGTAAAATAAAGGAAATCACTAAAAATTAAGATTTTAAATGAAGTTTAAACTGAAAACTCTGAAAAGTGTCTCTCTACAATTACAAAAAAAAATGTTCAGTTCAACAGTTTGCATTAATCTGTTTGAGTTGTGACAACTTCTAATAAAATTATGTTCAATTTTTAATCAGTCTTAACCGTCTGAAATTGTCCGGCCTTCTTACAATGAGGGAAGACGATTTGAAATCCTGAGCTCAAGGTCAGGAAAAATGAAGATATTCGGTCAATTTAAATAAGTTAGTGCAACTTAAATTTAGTTTTAAGTCAACGAGTGAAGACATTTGAGTTTAAACTACAGACATCATAAAATTGATGCCAAAACAAGTCACTACAATGATGTTTTCAACCTAAATAACAGCAACTAAATCAGCAAATGTGATTATTTATCTTGCAATCATGCATTTAATTAAGTTGCAGGAATATGCTCCTTGACTTGGCATAACTGTAAACATTTATGAAAACATGAAAAACTCCAGCCCTCCTGTGTGCCAACGTGTCGTCCAGGCCTGAACACTGAAGTCATAAATCAGACTTTGGGTTTTTACGGCACCATCAGATCCCTCATCGCTCATCCACCGACAAAACAGCCGAAGCTCACCGTGAAAGTGCACTTGCGCCTCCATTTCATGCTCGCCTTCAGAAGAGTTGTCAGGTTACATGGATTTCAAGGCGACAGCCATGTGGTTGTGAATCCTGCAGGACGGAGCAGCAGGAGACTGGACGTCTTAGATTTGTAATATGAAGATTCTTTTACCATCACGCTGCATCAGACAGGAGTTACTGACAGACTGTAAAGGACAGTAGTAATCTGGGAAGAGTCTGGAGTTTAAGCCGCATTTTATTGTCGTTTCTGGGAAACCTGACAGACCTTGATGCTGCGAGCCGAGATATTCTTCTGTCATGTGACAACACTTCTTTCTAGGAAAATGACGGCCGACGAGATTCCTAGATGGAATTTTACTTTCCTTGTGCATTTCTTTGTTGACTTCATAGTTCAATTGTGATTGTACGATGACAAATTCTTTGTTTACTGCCGTCAGGTTTGCAGGAGTTTTATATAAATGATTACCGTCAGTACGGGTTTCAGTTTTGGCTGATGACGATACAAATGTTTACAGAAGCCACATCAACTCAAGATACTGCACTACTGTGTTCGGGTTACAGGGTTTGAGTCTTTTGCATTTGTTTTAGGACATTCATGAGCATATCAAGAAAATATTTAGATTGAATGCATCAGCAAAATATTCACCTTCAGTATCTGCTGTGGTTAAAAAAGTGGGTTGAAAGTAAAAGACTGATGAAAAAGTAATATAACAGACAAACGCAAACTTTATTCTCTAATATAAGTGCCAGAGACTTTGCAAATCACATCTCCATTAGGCCAAATAGCTTATCTCCTCAATGTAAATATGGATTTAAAAAAAAAAAGAAAAAAAAGCTGCAATTACATAGACGTCACCAAGGAGCATTATTTGAAACAACTCATTTTATTCATATGCAGTTAAAATTTGGGGCCACAGCTGACAAATATTTTCACTGTGTACTTATCTGTTGACAATTTTCTCAATAGAAAGTGTCAAAAAATGTTGAAAAATGTCAATTGGTGCTTCCCAAAGCCAAAGATGACGTCCTCAAATGTCTTGTTCTGTCAACAACTCCAAAGATACTCAGTTTAGTCTCATAAAGGAGGAAAGAAACTACAAATAACTGACATTTAAGAAGCTGGAAATGAACAGATTTTGTCTGAACTCACACTGATTCATCAATTAATTGTTGCAGCTCTAATGCAGTTGGCGTATCCCCCACAGAGCCCATGAAGGCGTTGATCTAAAGGACGATACTGTGAGCTCAGGATAAGTTCCTTGCAGCCAAACTTTCCAACAGAGCCGACGTGACAGCAGGGTCGACTGTGTCAAGTCCGTTTTCCGACTGTGGACGAGCTGCGAGGCTCAGAAAATGACAAGAGGAGTAAAAATACATCAAGTGAGCCATCAGTCACCAGAACATGTTGTCTGTCCTTGCAGGTGTCCTGGAGCTCTTTGCGGTTTCTCAGGGGGTCATCGGCATCAAAGGGGTCTACAGCAACCGATTCCTGGCCATGAATAAAAGAGGACGGCTCCACGCCACCGTACGTATCGCTAACACGGCTTCCGTTTGCATTTACTCGGCTCCTACACACTGCTGCCTGCAGGGTCACGCTTTTATTTTGAAGAGACACAAAACAAAGGTTGCTTCGATTGTCGTCAAATGGCTGCTAACGTGATTAATTAGCAATAACCGCTTTGAATTTTATTCTAAGCTTTCTAAACTGCCCACACCCTGGTATGTCACCTGTTTATTCAGCTGTTATTGCTAATAAGTTAGCAAACAGCTACCCAGTAAATTCAATATTTACCCAATTAAATGGGTCTTCACTTGAATAATTAGCGATGATTGGTTTGGATTTTTTTTATTCTAAGCTTCCCAAACTCCCTCAAAATCCATCAGACACACACCGTGATACATTACTTATTTATCAAGCTGTTACTGCTAATAAGTTAGCAAACAGCTAATCTGTAAGCTTTATATTTACTCTAAAGTTTAGTCTGCACAACATTTATTTTGAGTCAACAAGATAGTCAACAACCAACTTGTAAGTTCAACATTGACCCTCCCATTCAGTCTACACAACTTTTATTTTGAAATGACCCAAAACAAGTGTTAATAGGATTGTTGTTGCCCAATCAAATGGCTCTTAACTTGAATAACTAGCTATGATTGGTTTGGATTTTTTATTCTAAGATTCCCAAACTCCCCCAAAATCTCTGAGACACACATCCTAATTTATTACCTCCTTAAAAAGTTGTTATTGCTAACAAGCCAGTAACTATCATCCGGCAAATTCAATATTTACTTTTCGGTTCAGTCTCCACAATCTGCTGAGACAAATATCTTTCACTTATGCTGCTAACTGCTTCGTTATGTTCGCCTGTTAGTTGACTTTGTGTTTGGTGCAGGGCAGGTAGGCTATAAGAGCTTATTACAGATTTGATGACAGCTGCTGCCAGAAAATGGGTTCAAACTGAATCAAAACAGCAAAACTGTCATAAAAAGGTGAAAAATGGAAAAGTCAAAAATACTTGTGAAATTTGGAAAAAATCACATTGTTTAATTTGACCATCCATTTGTTGTGTTCTGAGACTTCCAGGAAGCCTTGAAACTTGTACCAGAATTGAAGTCGATGCCCCTCTCTGCTGCAACCCAACATCATTAAACCTCCTGAAACGGACATATTTCTGCATCAGAACCTCGCCTCATGCAGCTATATTTGTTTTATTTATTAGCCGGTGCAGCTTTGCATCTATGCCGCACGACAAAATCCCCAAATCTGACATCAGCGTGTCATGGCACACTGCTGTAATCTTTAGCCACAGTTTTCGGAGACTTTCAAATCCCCCCAAACACACAGTAAAGCCCAAATCTGCCCACAGCAGCTCCAGCGGGCCGACCGGCCAGCCGGCAGCCGACGAATCATCTGTGGGAACTTTGGCAGGCGTGTAGATGGAGGCAGCTCCCTATTAGCATGTGCTAATGGGAAGAGCAGATTAAGTCCTGTCTGGGACGCCTGATAATATACAGAGGACGGAGCCGCAAAGTGTATGAAGAGTAAACAATCAGCCACAATCAGAGAGTCTGTGAGCTGTCCACGCGACTTACGTCCCCCCAGCTCCTGGTTCGGTTTCATGAAACCATGTCAGTGGGGAGCGACGGTTAGAAATGTGACTGTCCAGCAGCAGATATTGGCTTGTCATTCCAGCTTATGCAGGCACAGGGGACAGATTCAAACTTTGTCGAGGTCAAAGCACATCCCAAACAAGATTTAAATATGACCCAACACTGCACAGGCGCCGATGATAAGCAGAACGTCGTGACAAAGCAAAACTAAGGACGTGATCGTTTTTGTTCTGCTGGAAGTTTGGCATGCAGTCGTGGGATTTTCTTCCTCATCCGCCTCCATCTCCTGTTTCTAACCGTCAGAAGGTCAGAAATGAAAGTCGATCATCTGTCTTCTGCGGCTGGTTGTGTCTAGTCTGCATGAATCCTTGAATTGACACATCGAGCTGAAGATGACTGGAGCTGTTCACAGTTTCCAGCAATAAAGAGACAGAAGAGATCCACATTATGGACATAAAGATGAATCCAGCATTTAAAGGCAGAAAATACCTTTGCCCAAAAGCTTCGATTAGCACAACTCATCATTTATCTGCATTATTATGGAGCTGCTTTGCTCAAGAGCATGTCAGCGAGGGCAGTGGATCTGGTTTGTTTTGATTCCCCCAGCTACTGTAGATAAGTTTATTTAAAGTTATATTTAACTCTTACCACCTACCAGTGGGTTTAAAGTGCACATGTCTTTTTAAAAAACTGTTGGATTTTCAACTTTCAACTGGAACTAACCACGTTTGATGTGTAGTTCTGTCTGGAAAACTAACCAAAGCTAACATCGAAATGATGACATTTCAACAAAATCACTTTACCACATGTCTCGTTTAAAAATTGACCAAAACAGACAGTTTGCACCAGATTCTGTAACAAATAAAATAAAATAAAAATCATAGACTTTTCGGCTGAACTGCAGGCTGTGTTTACACTGAGAAAATTAAAGGCAAGGATGGATGTTAAAAGCTGGGAGCAAAAAAAACCAAAAAAAAAAACATACTTGAGCAATAAAATGAATTCAGCATGGCTCAGAAACAGTGAACAGTCGAGCAAGTTGTTGGAAGATACATTCAACACGGTGAAACATGTTTCTAGGGCTGGTGTGCAGAGTCTAGCTTGTAGAGGTTATAAAAGTGTCAGTAGTAAAATATTTATAGAATGTAGAGCCTCTGAGTTTTTACAGTATTTTCAGTGTTGGACATGATGATTGCAGGTTAATCATCAAAACATTCTTCACTTTGGATAACAGCTGCTTGAAAGAACCTGAAGGCTAACGGTCCACTCGCTCACTGGATTTTTGCAGAACTTTCAGTCACATCTTGCGGCTTTTCTTGCTGGATGAAGTTTGCTCAACGAGAACCAACTCCGATCGCTAAGAACGACAGAGTTAAGATTTTTTTTTTGTATGTTTAAGCACTTTGCAGCCTTTAGAAGCCGATATCTCACATTTATCTCTGTTGTATTTTTACCACCTAGATGGCAGTTTAAATATACAGCACATTTAAGAGTGTTATTATGACCCTTGGTAGCGCAGGGTTAGATACCTTCGCTTCGACAGACTTGTCCTCGTTTTGAGCTTATTTCTGCCTCCGGAGCGGCTCTGCCTCAGAGAGATATTTGCACAACTAAAACTCCAATCTGTGGCTACAGCTGCACTCTGCTATTTAACCGCCGCAACGATTTGGGCTGGATGTAAACGTCGGGGGCCTCGGCCGGGCTTGGGCCTCGCTGCCGGGTGTCAGGTGACGTCCTGAAGCTTATCCTGTTGCATCGTCTGTCATATTTCCTATTTAGATGTTTTCACAGTGGCAGCTTATTTGCCAGATAATGGACGAGAGGACAGATGCACATTGCTCCGCATGACGCGCTCAGCAAGCTATTGCAAACGTAAACGACCGAAAGGTGAAAGGGTCACCTACATTTGTAGAACAAACAGCGAGCGACGGGAGGGGAGGTAGAGATGGAGACAGAAGTATCCGATGAATTGAACCACGCAGCTGCAGACAATCCCGATTTTATTGGTTATGTTTTGGATTTCTGTACGTCTTAAGCATTGATTTGATCTGAATACTTGATCTGAGCACAACTGGGCGTCCACTTCAGGAAATTATGAGCATCAAACACTTAATTTGCTGCATTCTTGTCGATTTTTATGCACTAATTTGTTCCTTTTCTGCATCAGTTTATTCTGAAATTTCTTCATTTGTGTAAGGAAAACACAAGAAAAACACAAGGGATTTAGTATATCCCCTTCATCCCCCTTGAAATCTACAGCTATTACAGTCACAGTTTCTTTTGCATCTTTGAAGCAAGCGTTTCTACCTTCATGAAATCCAGTAACGTTGGTCATCTCCTGGTGCTTCACAGTGTCACCTCCTGCATAGGTGTAGGCTTTTGGTTTGGGTAATTTGCTGCATTCTGGTGGATTGTTAGGCACCAATTTTTTTCTGCATCAGTTTACGGTGGAAATTTCTACATTTACACAATAAAGACACACAAAAAACACAAGGACGTGTCTCCTGCATCACATCTGAAATCTACAGCTGTGCAGTGACTGTTACTTTTACATCTTTGCTGCATTTATACCAAAGACAGATATTCATTTTTGCTCTCTTGATGCATGGCAATAACTGTGCTGACCTGGTGTTTCATAGTGCCATCGGCACAACTGTCAGCTCTTGGTTTTGCTTTATAGATGTGTTTTCTTTCTTTTTGTAACATAAGCATCATTTTGCACATTTTCCTTCAAGCATTTCTGTAGAAAGAAGGTAAGAGTTTTAAACGTTTTTCTGCTACCGACTTACAACTCAGTCCACGAAGTGTTTGTGAATCAGACCAGAACGAGACCAAACTTGAATTAATAAAGTAGTTTTTGTATGCGTCTGTAGCTGCAGTAACAAAACAAACAAAAAAAAAGGACGTCTCAGTGAAGAAATATTACTTGCAAAATGAAAAAACCAAGCTGGAGGATCATGGGAAAGGTCCCTTTAAAAGAGTGTGACCAATCCAGCAGGGCAAGAGCCAGGTTAAACAGCTGTACAAGCATTATGATTTTAACAATAAGATCTCTGGAATCTGGCTGCAGCTATTAAAGCCTATGAAGCACAGCGGGGGCCAAAGCTTCTTCCTGGTATGCATGCTTGTGTGTGTGTGTGTGTGTGTGTGTGTGTGGGTACACTCATACATGCTCCAGTGGATTTGTTTCCAAACGTGTAATTCCCCGACTGGTACCAGAGCTGGTATGTTGCGTTCTGTTAACTCATTTCATTCCACCCGTAGCGGCGGCTCTGCACCGAGTTCCGTACAGTTTTCCTAATCATCTTTAAAAAACAACAGCCACAAGGAACAGTGGGTCACTTTGAATAACTTAAAGGTTTGCGCTGTCGTGCCGCGGCCGCAGAGCGCTCTCCTGTGACTGGCATGTTTACCGAACGCTGTAATGGCATCATTTTCTGCTATGCTGCACTCTTCAGCAAAGCAGAACAGTTTGTTTTATTTCAGAATGGCAGGAGGTTATGCAAGGAAGTCATACTGCAGCGAGGAAAGCAGGCATCCCTGGGTACACGTCAAAGTTTCCCACCCGGGGTATTTTTAGGCACAAAACGGGAACATTCGAAGAATATCTGCATTTCTGAAATGTGGCATTGCAGAATGTAAAACATTTGGACTTACGGTAATATGATAGCATATTCCTAGAAGTTCCACACTTTGAATACATTAAAGTTATCAAATCAATACAATGTTTATGCTTGATAACTGATAATTAGCTTATTAGCTAGCAACTGGCCACCATGACTAAGACATCCGTGTTGCTTAATGACCTCTAGACAGAACTCGAATGTTTAAAACAAGCTGCGATCGACTTGGACAGCGTTCTTATGTAACCTTTCTGATCTAAATCAGGTGTCTTTTGATTAAACTACCAATTGCAACACAGGACAAAAGAGTCCAATGTGCTGAATTTGTGTAATCAATTAATCAACTCTCGTCAGTGATTGTTAGTTGAGAAAATTATTTTAAATTTGCATTCCTACCATCCAGCCACAGATTTTTCTTTACCTTTATGACACCTGTATGACCACAGATGTAAACAAATGATCCTGCTGAGGTTTGTGCTGATACCGATCAGTTAGAAAATGCTTTGATCAATCTTTGACATATTAGACAATTCATTTCAGTTTGTTAGGTTTGGTTCCACCTATGAGCCGATAAATTCTTGTCTGATACAGTCCAATGTACAGCTCATCTGTGGAACAAATTCTGAAATGCCTGGTTGGGTTTCGATACTAAAGTAAATGTAATCAGTCACTTTCCACCACTGATTGTCTTGCAGCCAAACTACATTATCATAGTTTGTTGGAATATTATAAACAATAACACAACATGGTCAACAGTGTTGGAAGCAACTGAATCCACTTCTATACTTTGCATATATAGAGAATATAAATTAGTCTGATAAATCTGCACTATTCCTAATATTGTAGGTTCTAAACCTGAATATGTAAACTTGTTCGGTAAGTTCTTCTCATCAATCTTATTTCTCTACTGAGAGGAACTTTGGTTCAATGGTTGTTATTTAAAATGTGCGACCTATGTTATGTTGACTTAACTTGACAGTGAAGGTTTCATTGTTTTACTTGTATTCATAAAAGTAGCATATTGTAGCCTGTTTGTTTTAACTTCACCTTAACTGAGTTATGGCGTCTTCTGGCTATCCTGTCCATGCACTGCCTTGTTGTTAAGGGCACTATTTAAATAAAGTTAATATAATTACTGTTATTAAGACTGGCATCAACAGCATCACGGATGCAAAAGCCAAATCTGATCTCATCCTCTGAGAACCTTCAGGTGTCACAACATTGTCTAACCCAAGTCATGCACACACACACACATATACACCAGATATTATAATTCATTCTTACAGCAGCTGGTGATATTTCTGAACATATTTATTTATTAAATACCTCACATTTCTTCAACAAACGGCCTCCAGATGCAGTGAACACGGTCAAATAGAATAACCCTCTGATGTTGTAACAACACGATCAGAAAAACACCAGTCGCTGTGTGTGTGTGTGTGTGTGTGTGTGTTTAGAGGTTGTCCTTGGATTAATGTAACACACAGGCTGTAATGAGTTTCTGACCGGTACAAAGGGAACTCTGCTGCTGTCAGTCAAAGCATCTCTGAGATAAGGAAAGTCACGTAGATGACTTTGAAACCCGACGCCAAGATAAGCGTTTGTTTTCCCACTCTGGATTGTGTTGTGATCATCGTATTACAAAAGTGATCCAGCTCTGTCTTATTACTGCTGCAGCCCTCCCTGATCTGCTGCTGTGAGTCACTTAAATCCTCCCTGCTCACGTCTTTTTTATTTAAAAACATTTTCACTCGATAACACAAAGGTGTTCTCTGCAGCACAGCCCACTGCAAATGCTGACAAAAAGACTAACTCACTTTTGCACCATCATACCTACTTTGCAGAGAAATGAAACACATTCATTTAGAAAATCACACGAGTTTCTCACAGTATGTCCACGTCTGTATCCGTATGTGTGTGTGCTCCTGTGTCTAATCAGTGTTAACAAGGAAATAAAGTTGCATCACTGGGAGAAGGTGGCAGAGGTCGGCTGCCAGATGAAGAATCTGAGCCATTACTTTTTCTTTCCCCGACTTAAACACAATTATCTCAGCAGCAGCTAACGAGAGTCACTGGGTTCGGTTACATGGTAGGAGTTCCCACAGGTTCAACCTCTGGTCTTGTTTGTATTTGGACAGATCAAGTATCGTGTCCTCAGAAATGAAACGTGCAGCAGATTTAAAGGTTTGTTAATGACAGATAGGCTCACCGACTGATCTAAGCCATTGAAATGCAGTGTTGAGTTCAGCTAAAGTAAAGACGATTGAAGTGACAGCAGCACGAGCTAACTCCTTGGATTTCCCTTCTCTTGCAGGAATGGTTCACAGAAGACTGTAAGTTCAGGGAACGCTTCCAGGAGAACAGCTACAACACTTACGCCTCAGTAATCCACAGAAACCACAGGACTGGTCGCGAGTGGTTCGTGGCCCTCAATAAAAGAGGAAAAGCCAAAATGGGCTCCAGCCCGCGGGTCAAATCCCAGCACGTCTCCACGCACTTCCTGCCCAGAGTCGGCCTCCACGACAAGACCGAGCGAGGCTTCACCATCACGGACAGGAGCAAAGAACGGAGGAAAACCCCGCTGCCGCCGCCACCACCAGCAGCCGCCAAATCTGCCCCACCAAAGGCAAGCGTCCACACAGGAACAGCGCCAAGACGGACGCAAGTCAAGTACTGGCCCAAGTACAGGTTTGGATAGGCTCGCACACGTTGGACATAAAAGTAAAGGACAACAAACCGACAGTGGTCGTTTATCACATTCAAATCATTCCGGGTATCTACGAAGTGAGAAAAAAAACCTCAAAGGGCTGCCAGGTATCGAGCTTTTCGTTGCTGACGATCATAGTTGGGAGTTTCCAGTTAACAACACTCCGTCCTGTTTTATGTTATCACTTGGGTACGAGGTTTGTACGCAATGCTGTTAAAGCTGAAATCCATAACTTTCTGGCCATTTTTGACACTAAAGCTCCTCTCTGGTTGCTGATTGAACCAAAAAAGGTCCAAATCCAATCTCAAAATTCAGAATAATGATCAACTAATACCACAAACTGAGCATCAAATTGATTTTATTCAGTGGACATGATTGAGGCAACATACTCGACCACATATGCCACTGGGATTTAAAAGAAACTGTCCTATTTCATCCTGGCTTGTCTAAAACACATGAGCTCTAGTCGGAGGTCAAAAAGCATCCCAGATGTCTTTGTCATGGTGCCCATTGCTAGATTAATGATGATCCCTGTTTGCCAACCTTCTGTCTAACGCACCTTGCAGACAGTGTCCTTCTGGAGCTTTATAACAAGGTTCATGACCACCTACATAACATAGAAGAACAGCTTAGATGGCCATTTTTTCACATTACAAAGCTATTCAGTTGTCAAACAAAAACATTTGTTCATTTATTATACTTCTATCCACCTGAAAAATGGGATCAAATTGGAATTCTGTATTGACAGAGATTATATTTAAGAGGACTTGATCAGGAGGTCCCTTGATTTAACCCTAAAACTCTCACACAGTTACATACTTAGAGGTTTTTTTCCATTAAAATAATCCCTTCTCACCTTAAAACGACTTTGATTTAACTCTATACCAGCTTGAGCGCACCAGCTAACTGAGAACGCTGCTCAAACGCTGTAAAATGAGTCTAGTGGATTAATGATACAGAAAATTTCTGCCCTCCAAGTTGACAGAATTAGTTTGTTACATATAAATCCCTTGAAATCTAAGTATGTATTTTTGAGGCTATAATTGGTCCACTGCAGCTTAAAGGTGGAAAATCTTAGCCACCAGGATGCCTGCCTATTTTGCTCATGATGTGTCTTTCAACATACTAAAAAAAAAAAAACACCATATTGTGGACATGTTAACAAGGCAGAAACCTTGATTATACTGGAGGGGGTCGTGTTCATCTATCGTTTGTTAGCTGGTAAGGGACAAAATGACTATGGGTACGTGTAGATTAAATAAGAGGAATTCATTTGTTTGTGTTGCGAAAAACAACAACAATAAAATAGAAATTGGTCAGCAGAATTTGTTGATTGAACTTTAAAGGATTTAATTTAGATTTGATTTAAAGATTCAAGTTGAATAATACTTCTTTGTGGTCATAATTGTGCATTTTTCTATAAGCAGAAGACGAAAATTATGCCTCTGTTTCAGACCTTTCTGTTCCTCAACACAACAAGCTAGTAGCTAATACAGGACCAGTTAGTCCATTCTGAGACACAGAGAATGAATAAATCTTTACTGCTATTAATGACTGACATCAATTAATGATGATATTTGTTGCAAAGAGGGCACTGTTTTATAATGAATGTCAGCCGTAGACGACCCTTATTTTGCAAACAAAGTTATTTCAATATATATATATAGTCATTATAGAGCACAATGTGAAAAGGTGAATTAAAAAGTTGATTGTTTTAATTCACACCTAAAAATCAGAGGCAGGTACCAACCATGACTGGAAACCTGCAGCGTTTTATTGTCATCCAGAAGGTAACAAGTCACTCCTCAGAGCAATGAGCCTCACTGAGTCCAACAAAACGCTCCTTCATGCAGATGATATTTAAGCAAAAATAGGTCATGGATTTCAGCTTTTAACACTGAAGAAAATCATTATTTCACAAATATTTATGCTGTCCCTGCTGGTTAAATCATAACCGAGGTGATAAATTTGACTGTGAGGAACATTTTTTTAGCCTCATTTGAGACAAAAAAAAAAAAAAAACCTCTCTCACTCTTGGAAAGTGATTCAAACATGCCTCCTGCCTAAACATACACACCGACCAACTGTCCCTCTCCTAACACCAGATTTGTGATAATCAACAAGAAAACGAGGGCTGGTTCTCTGGAGACTCCCTCCTCCTCCTCCTCCTCGGACAGCTGTGAGGGATCAAGGAGAAAACTGTCCGTCAAAACTATCATTTTAGCAACCGGCTGTCCCGAGTCACGACCTCGCGGCATTCCAGCCAGGAGGAGCGCTCACCGCCGTCACCACGGGGATAAAGATGCCGAGAAAGAGGCTGAAGGTGTATCGGATGGCAAACAGCCGTGGCGCGGCGGAGCAAAGGGACATCTCAGGGGTAGAAGACGGGAGTTTGGATGTGAAGAACACAGAACGAGCTGTCTGAGAACCTGAATTATAATTTAAATGCTGTTTTTTTATTTAATTGTTTGCTTGGTATACATTTTGCAGAAGCATTTCAAATTAAATCCGTGTCAGGACTTTACTTTGGCCACAGTCCACTGTCAAAACCTGCGTATTAACCTGTTAAATATAACTCAAGCACACATTTTAAACATAAACTTACAATGCACTGGTAAAAACTGTGGTCAGGGTTATGCATATGGTAAATTTTCTCATGTCTGTCCAAAATATCACAGTACATTTTTAAATACAACTTAATTCTTGCAAAAGTGTAACCCAACTGATTTACAAATGGGGTTTGGGTAACACTCAAGAGTTTTACTAGCTAAACTAGCCTGGTTACTTGATTTTGTTCTCAGATTTTTCAGTGTCTTAATGCAAATGATCTGTTTTCACATTAACAAATGGAATAGCCAGTGGGATCAGCGAGAGACAGGCTGGCTAGGAGTTAGAAATGCACAAAATATGGTAAAAAGTGCAGCTTCAGGGCTCAGATTATGTCCACAAAACATGTCCACATCTCAGTTTTGAGCCTGTGCAGAACCCGATTAGGTGCAAATACATCTCACATGGCTGCAGAATCATCAAAATGTGCTGTAGTTCTAAAATAAAAATTTCTATGTCTCCACTAATAATCTCCTTTTACATATTACAAATGGGATAGCCAGTGAGATCAAGGAGAGGCAGGCTGGCTAAGAGACAGTAATGCACAAAATAATGTAAAAAGTAAAGTTTTGGGTGTCAAAATTGGCAGAACTAGTCATTATTGGTGCACATTTCGATTTGATGCACATACATCCACCAAGACTGCACAATAATCAAAGTGTGCTACAGTTATAATGGAACATTTCCTATGTCTGACTGTGCAAATAATCTGCATTTATGCATTATGAGCAGAACAGCCAGTAAGATCAGGACGATACAGGCAAGCTAAGACTCAGTAATGGACAAAATAATGTAAAAAGTACAGTTTCAGGGGTGAAAATTGGCAGAATTAGTCATTGTTGGTCAGGTAATATCTTCAAAACATGTTCAGCCATGTTTGAGCCTGTGCACAGCTTGATTTGGTGCACATGCAAATAATCTGCTTTCATGTGTTTACAAGCAGAGTTTCAGTGAGATAAGGGAGAGACAGGCTAGCTGAGAGTCAGTAATGGACAAAATCATGTCAAAAGTATAATTTCAGGGGTCAATTTTGACAATATTCGTCATTATTGGTCAGATTATGTCTTAAAAACAAGTTAAGATCACAGTTTTTAGCCTGTGCAGACCTCGATTTGGTGCACATACATCCACTAAGGCTGCAATAACTGAAATATGCTATTGTTAAACAATTTCTAACTACAATTTAACAAATAAACAGGTTGAAAACAAAACCTAGTGGGTGAGAACTGCACCAGAAGATAAACACCATCACATAAAAAAGCTTGACTTACATTAAAGGTTAATACACAGGCTGATGCGGTGGAATAGAGGCGCTGTGGCCGGATGTTTTCCAGTGTTTGTCTTTGTTCAGACGTACAACAACAGAAAGAGCATGTAGCAAACTCATGAAATATCCTCCACGCTGTATTTTTGTTTCGCAGTTGACACCTTTGTAAACTGTAGATTTCTTCCTCGTTGCCATTTTGTGGTCCTCATACACATCCCAAAGAAATATTTTTTGTACCAGATTCTGTTCTTTTTTTATAAAAACGTATGTACGACAAAGAGTTTTTATGTAATAAGAATATTAGAAAATAAATATATCAGTGGGTATTCTTGGGTTCTACGTTGCACGTGACATTCAGAAAAATGCAGCAAGTCGCAAAGACGTAGATTTCAAGTGGAGATACATCCAATGACCGTGATTTCTGGACTATAGAGAGCACCTGAATATTAGCCGCACCCACTAACTTTAAAAAGAAAAATAGTTTTGTTCATATACAGGCCGCACTTGTCTATAAGCTGCAGGTGTCCACGTTGTAACACGAGATATTTACAAATGCTTTTTTCCAAACGGTGCCTGTAACACGACTGGTTAAAAAAATTACAAATACAGCAGCCTACCAGGAAAAGTCATTGATCGCTATCTTCATCTTCCTCCTGTGCACTAAAACCACTAAAGTCATCTTCTTCAGTGTCACTACTTCATCACACACTTCCTCAGTCTCTCTTTCGTTGTCGCTCTCAATGTCATTTTCGTCTCGAAGCAAATTCATAAAAATCGTAAAAATCCATAAATTAGCTGCATCATTGTTTAAGCTCCAGCGTTCAAACGTAGCAGCTTATAGTTTGGAACGTACGATAATAGTTAAACTATGCATATTTGTATTAGATGCATCAATGCCACATACACGAACAAGTCTTTTTTTCTTCAGCAGTCGTTTATCTAATATAAATTATAAGCTCAAACAACCACTGAATCTATTGCAGAAAACTTAATTAAACCCACGTATATCCCATTTTATTTAGAAGCTGCACCTCCTGTCTGGATTTTGTTTTCCTTTACAGAAATAAAGACACTTTCACCAATAATTGATGCAGAAAAGTACAACTTGGTGCAAAAA